TACCTGGGTCTGTCCCGTGACTTCTTCTTCCTACACCTAGCCTGGCACAGCAGTAAACCCATGGTACCTGGGTCTGTCCCGTGACTTCCTCCTCCTACACCTAGCCTGGCACAGCAGTCAACCCATGGTACCTGGGTCTGTCCCGTGACTTCCTCCTCCTACACCTAGCCTGGCACAGCAGTAAACCCATGGTACCTGGGTCTGTCCCGTGACTTCCTCCTCCTACACCTAGCCTGGCACAGCAGTCAACCCATGGTACCTGGGTCTGTCCCGTGACTTCCTCCTCCTACACCTAGCCTGGCACAGCAGTCAACCCATGGTACCTGGGTCTGTCCCGTGACTTCCTCCTCCTACACCTAGCCTGGCACAGCAGTCAACCCATGGTACCTGGGTCTGTCCCGTGACTTCCTCCTCCTACACCTAGCCTGGCACAGCAGTCAACCCATGGTACCTGGGTCTGTCCCGTGACTTCCTCCTCCTACACCTAGCCTGGCACAGCAGTCAACCCATGGTACCTGGGTCTGTCCCGTGACTTCCTCCTCCTACACCTAGCCTGGCACAGCAGTAAACCCATGGTACCTGGGTCTGTCCCGTGACTTCCTCCTCCTACACCTAGCCTGGCACAGCAGTAAACCCATGGTACCTGGGTCTGTCCCGTGACTTCCTCCTCCTACACCTAGCCTGGCACAGCAGTAAACCCATGGTACCTGGGTCTGTCCCGTGACTTCCTCCTCCTACACCTAGCCTGGCACAGCAGTCAACCCATGGTACCTGGGTCTGTCCCGTGACTTCCTCCTCCTACACCTAGCCTGGCACAGCAGTCAACCCATGGTACCTGGGTCTGTCCCGTGACTTCCTCCTCCTACACCTAGCCTGGCACAGCAGTCAACCCATGGTACCTGTGTCTGTCCCGTGACTTCCTCCTCCTACACCTAGCCTGGCACAGCAGTCAACCCATGGTACCTAGGTCTGTCCCGTGACTTCCTCCTCCTACACCTAGCCTGGCACAGCAGTCAACCCATGGTACCTGGGTCTGTCCCGTGACTTCCTCCTCCTACACCTAGCCTGGCACAGCAGTCAACCCATGGTACCTGGGTCTGTCCCGTGACTTCCTCCTCCTACACCTAGCCTGGCACAGCAGTAAACCCATGGTACCTGGGTCTGTCCCGTGACTTCCTCCTCCTACACCTAGCCTGGAACAGCAGTCAACCCATGGTACCTGGGTCTGTCCCGTGACTTCCTCCTCCTACACCTAGCCTGGCACAGCAGTCAACCCATGGTACCTGGGTCTGTCCCGTGACTTCCTCCTCCTACACCTAGCCTGGAACAGCAGTAAACCCATGGTACCTTGGTCTGTCCCGTGACTTCTTCCTCCTACACCTATCCTGGCACAGCAGTCAACCCATGGTACCTGGGTCTGTCCCGTGACTTCCTCCTCCTACACCTAGCCTGGCACAGCAGTAAACCCATGGTACCTTGGTCTGTCCCGTGACTTCTTCCTCCTACACCTATCCTGGCACAGCAGTCAACCCATGGTACCTGGGTCTGTCCCGTGACTTCCTCCTCCTACACCTAGCCTGGCACAGCAGTAAACCCATGGTACCTGGGTCTGTCCAGTGACTTCCTCCTCCTACACCTAGCCTTGCACAGCAGTAAACCCATGGTACCTGGGTCTGTCCCGTGACTTCCTCCTCCTACACCTAGCCTGGCACAGCAGTAAACCCATGGTACCTGGGTCTGTCCCGTGACTTCCTCCTCCTACACCTAGCCTGGCACAGCAGTCAACCCATGGTACCTGGGTCTGTCCCGTGACTTCCTCCTCCTACACCTAGCCTGGCACAGCAGTCAACCCATGGTACCTGGGTCTGTCCCGTGACTTCCTCCTCCTACACCTAGCCTGGCACAGCAGTCAACCCATGGTACCTGTGTCTGTCCCGTGACTTCCTCCTCCTACACCTAGCCTGGCACAGCAGTCAACCCATGGTACCTGGGTCTGTCCCGTGACTTCCTCCTCCTACACCTAGCCTGGCACAGCAGTCAACCCATGGTACCTGGGTCTGTCCCGTGACTTCCTCCTCCTACACCTAGCCTGGCACAGCAGTCAACCCATGGTACCTGGGTCTGTCCCGTGACTTCCTCCTCCTACACCTAGCCTGGCACAGCAGTAAACCCATGGTACCTGGGTCTGTCCCGTGACTTCCTCCTCCTACACCTAGCCTGGAACAGCAGTCAACCCATGGTACCTGGGTCTGTCCCGTGACTTCCTCCTCCTACACCTAGCCTGGCACAGCAGTCAACCCATGGTACCTGGGTCTGTCCCGTGACTTCCTCCTCCTACACCTAGCCTGGCACAGCAGTAAACCCATGGTACCTTGGTCTGTCCCGTGACTTCTTCCTCCTACACCTATCCTGGCACAGCAGTCAACCCATGGTACCTGGGTCTGTCCCGTGACTTCCTCCTCCTACACCTAGCCTGGCACAGCAGTAAACCCATGGTACCTGGGTCTGTCCAGTGACTTCCTCCTCCTACACCTAGCCTTGCACAGCAGTAAACCCATGGTACCTGGGTCTGTCCCGTGACTTCCTCCTCCTACACCTAGCCTGGCACAGCAGTAAACCCATGGTACCTGGGTCTGTCCCGTCACTTCCTCCTCCTACACCTAGCCTGGCACAGCAGTAAACCCATGGTACCTGGGTCTGTCCAGTGACTTCCTCCTCCTACACCTAGCCTGGCACGGCAGTCAACATATGGCACTTGAGTATGTCCCGTGACTTCCTCCTCCTACACCTAGCCTGGCACAGCAGTAAACCCATGGTACCTGGGTCTGTCCCGTGACTTCCTCCTCCTACACCTAGCCTGGCACAGCAGTAAACCCATGGTACCTGGGTCTGTCCAGTGACTTCCTCCTCCTACACCTAGCCTTGCACAGCAGTAAACCCATGGTACCTGGGTCTGTCCCGTGACTTCCTCCTCCTACACCTAGCCTGGCACAGCAGTAAACCCATGGTACCTGGGTCTGTCCCGTCACTTCCTCCTCCTACACCTAGCCTGGCACAGCAGTCAACATATGGCACCTGAGTCTGTCCCGTGACTTCCTCCTCCTGCACCTAGCCTGGCACAGCAGTCAACCCATGGCACATGGGTCTGGACAGGAAGTCAGGACACATAGGGTTGTTTAATATATATTTTAATTGGCAATTAAATATTTAAATTGTTTATTCTTTAAGTTAATATTTTAGCTAGATTATCATTGTTTTATATTTTTATTATTTTGTTTCCCTTCTATGTGACTTTACCGAAAGAACCAAGAATATAGATTATCATTATTAACATCTATGTTTCAGTCTTCCTTTTCAAGTGACATTTAAAAATATAAATGAAATTGACTCGAGACGAACCAGTTCAACTAGTTTTTATAACGTATGTTAAATAAGGCGACTGTAAATATGCATGCATTTATTAAAATAGTTATAATAATCTTATGTGATTATTAAACTAAATATAATCACCTAATGTGATTTGTTGCAAGAAATATAATAACCCTATGTCTCCTGACTTTTAGGCTATGCAGGCGCTCTTTGTACATGAACAAAGATCCCCGTGTTGGAGCAAGTACTCAGAGCGAGCAGCAGCACCTATAAAGCCTGGAACGGCATACGAGAGAGTGGGTGGCCAGCGCCACGCCGGGCCGCCTTTGTCTCCCTGTGATTATGTTTACACACCGCACCAGAAACTAATTTGAGGCTGAGTCAACCTAGGGGAGGGCCAAGACCAGTTCAGATAATTATCCGATTATAATCATCACTGGTGTTGGCCGTGATCGGGAATCGAACTCGAGTCGCCGGGTTCGTCGTGCAGCGCACTAACCGCTACCCTACCGCTCCCCTAAACAAAAAAAACAAAGATCCCCCATATAGCTTTAATATACTGGTGGGGCAGGTGCTGTTAGCGAGCACCTATGAAGTCCGACACGGCACACAAGGGGGTGGGGTGGCCAGCACCACGCTCGGCCGCATTTGTCTCCCCAGTGGCGATGTTTACAAACCGCAACAGGTACTCGTTTGAGGCTGAGTCGACCTACGGGAGGCCCAGGACCGGTTCAGATAACCGTCACTGGTGTTGGCCGTGAGCGGGAATCGAACTCGGATGGCCAGGTTCGTAGCATAGCGCTCACCGCAACACCACCGCTCTGCTACAAACACACACCTCGACACACTCACCTCGACACACACTCACCTCGACATACACACACACCTAGACACACACACACCTCGACACACACACCTCGACACACACACCTAGACACACACCTCGACATACACGCACACCTAGACACACACCTCGACACACACTCACCTCGACACACACACACACCGAGACACACACACACCTAGACACACACCTAGACACACACAAACCTCGACACACACACCTACACACACACCTCGACACACACTCACCTCGACACACACACACACCTAGACACACACACACACCTAGACACACACACATAGACACACACAAACCTCGACACACACACACCTACACACACACCTCGACACACACACACCTAGACACACACACACCTAGACACACACACCTCGACACACACAGACACCTAGACACACACACCTCGACACACACACACCTCGACACACACACACCTCGGCACACACACCTACACACACACACACCTCGACACACACACCTAGACACACACACCTCGACACACACACACCTCGACACACACACACCTACACACACACACACCTAGACACACACACCTAGACACACACACCTCGACACACACACACACCTAGACACACACCTCGACACACACACACACCTCGACACACACACACCTAGACACACACACACCTAGACACACACACACCTCGACACACACACCTAGACACACACACCTCGACACACACACACCTAGACACACACACCTTCGCGTCTAAATGCACACACAAACGCACACTTAACAAGTGCTTACCTTTCGCTTCTGCATGCTCACTGCCTTCCATCTTCAAAAACAAAAACGGCTCTCTCTGTCTCTCTCTGGTAAAATAAACAAAATAGTAAATTAAAATAGTAAATAAGTAAAACAATACATATATAGTATCTCGCCTTGCAAGGTAATCACCGACTGACTGAGGATAATAGCTGTGGGCAGGGTATATAGCGGACTGGCCCTACAATCTGGTAAGGCGACTATAGGGGTGATCTTTATAGGGGCGCTGTGTGTGTGTGGGTCCGCCCAACATTTCTCTCAAATCACGGAGCACGTGCGTGCGTGCGTCAAGAGACAAGGACAAAAGTTACCCGCGTAGCCTCTAACAGACTGTTGGGGCAAGTGCTGACACGGGAGGGTGGGTGGCCAACACCAAACCACGCCTAACCGCCTTTGTCTCCCCAGTGGCGATGTTTACTACACACCACTGCGCCAGGATACCCATTTCAGGCTAAGTCGGCCGAGGGGAAGCCCAGGACCGGTTCAGATAATCGCTATCACAGGTGTTGGTGATATTCGTGGCCGCGAGCGGAATCGAACTCGGGCCTCTGCTGGGTTCGTAGCGCAACGCGCCAACTGCTGCACCACCGCTCCACCCACTCACCCAAAACACAAATATAGGCTTAACAGATGTTTAGGGTTAGTGCTGTTAGCGAGAAACTATGAAAGCCGGCACGGCACATGAGGGGGTGGGGTGGGCAGCACCACGCCCGGCCGCCGTATTATCCTTCGTGGCTGTGTTTACGACACACCGCACCAGGTACTCATCTGAGGCTGAGTCGAACTAGGGGAGGCCCAGCACCGGTTCAGATAATCACTATCACTGGTGTTGGTGGTATTCGTGGCCGTGAGTGGGAATCGAACTCGGGTATCTGCCAGGTTCGTAGCGCAGGGCAGCGCTAACCACTACATAATACCCACACATTCACTGGGCCACTCACACTGCCCTACTCACTGGTACACAATAAATTACACCCACACACACACTGGCACACTCACCCACACACTCCCTGGCCCACTCACATAATTACTGGCACATTCACTTACCCATGCACTCACTGGCCCATCCACACACACACTGGCACACTCACCCACACACTCACTGACACACTCACCCACACAATCACTGGCACACTAACCCACACACACACAGGCACACTCACATAATTACTGGCACATTCACTTACCCATGCACTCACTGGCCCATCCACACTCTCACTGGCACACTCACCCACACACTCACTGGCACACTCACCCACACAATCACTGGCACACTCACCCACACACACACTGGCACACTCACCCACACACTCACTGGCCCACTCACATAATTACTGGCACATTCACTTATCCATGCACTCACTGGCCCATCCACACACACACTGGCACACTCACCCACACACTCACTGGCCCACTCACATAATTACTGGCACATTCACTTATCCATGCACTCACTGGCCCATCCACACACACACTGGCACACTCACCCACACACTCACTGGCCCACTCACATAATTACTGGCACATTCACTCATGCACTCACTCGCACATTCACACATTCACTGGCACACTCAGCCACACTCACTGGAACACTCACTTACCTACCCACACACACATTGGCTTCCTCAATCACTGACGCACACACTCACTAGCCCACTCACACACTCATTGGCAAACTCACATACCCAGACACGCACTCACTGGCACACTCACTCACCCAGGCACACACTCAATAGCACACTCACTGGCACACTTTACACACCCACACACCGGCACACTTACCCACACACTCGCTGGCCCACTTTACACACTCACAGGTAAACTGACCGGCGCACCCACCCACCCGACAGACAACATCGAAGCATTTCAAAACTCGCATTGCTTTGACCTCATCCGCATGGTACAGTACTCCTGGTATGTGGGCTAAGCATCCGGATATTTACCTGCATTCTGTGACCTTGGTTTTCGCTCGTTTTTGGTTTAATTAAAGAACGCACTTTTTCGACCATAAAAATGTTTCATTACTTCGTGACAAATGCCCTAATTATGTTCATTATTAGTGCCATCAATTACCTTAGAACTCATCGACGAAAAAAAGTAAATTTAACTATATTCTTTGGGTTTTTCGGTAAAGCCACGTAGATAGAAAAAAATAAAGCAAACCACGTAGATGGAAAAAAATAAAGAATATGAATTCATGCAGTCACGAAAGCTTTAAGTGAAGATTAAATTAAACTACCTTCAATACTCCTCACAAAGATGGCATTTTACGCCTATGTAGTACTAGTAGCTAGACATACTGTGTAGCACTAGTAGCTAGACACACTGTGTAGTACTAGTAGCTAGACACACTGTGTAGTACTAGTAGCTAGACACACTGTGTAGCACTAGTAGCTAGACACACTGTGTAGTACTAGTAGTTAGACAAGCTGTGTAGTACTAGTAGCTAGACACTGTGTAGTACTAGTAGCTAGACACACTATTTAGTACTAGTAGTTAGACACACTGTGTAGCACTAGTAGCTAGACACACTGTGTAGTACTAGTAGCTAGACACTGTGTAGTACGAGTAGCTAGACACACTGTGTAATACTAGTAGCTAGACACACTGTGTAGTACTAGCAGCTAGACACACTGTGTAGTACTAGTAGCTAGACACACTGTGTAGTACTAGTAGCTAGACAAACTGTGTAGCACTAGTAGCTAGACACACTGTGTAGTACTAGTAGCGAGACACTGTGAAGTACTAGTAGCTTGACACACTGTGTAGTACTAGTAGCTAGACACACTGTGTAGTACTAGTAGCTAGACACACTGTGTAGTACTAGTAGTGAGACACACTGTGTAGTACTAGTAGCTAGACAAACTGTGTAGTACTAGTAGCTAGACACTGTGTAGTACTAGTAGCTAGACACACTATTTAGTACTAGTAGTTAGACACACTGTGTAGCACTAGTAGCTAGACACACTGTGTAGTACTAGTAGCCAGACACACTGTGTAGTACTAGTAGCTAGACACAGTGTGTAGTACTAGTAGCTAGACACACTGTGTAGTACTAGTAGCTATACACACTGTGTAGTACTAGTAGCTAGACACACTGTGTAGTACTAGTAGTTAGACATACTGTGTAGCACTAGTAGCTAGACACACTGTGTAGTACTAGTAGCTAGACACTGTGTAGTACGAGTAGCTAGACACACTGTGTAGTACTAGTAGCTAGACACACTGTGTAGTACTAGCAGCTAGACACACTGTGTAGTACTAGTAGCTAGACACATTGTGTAGTACTAGTAGCTAGACAAACTGTGTAGCACTAGTAGCTAGACACACTGTGTAGTACTAGTAGCTAGACACTGTGTAGTACTAGTAGCTAGACACACTGTGTAGCACTAGTAGCTAGACACACTGTGTAGTACTACTAGCTAGACACACTGTGTAGTACTAGCAGCTAGACACACTGTGTAGTACTAGTAGCTAGACACACTGTGTAGTACTAGTAGCTAGACAAACTGTGTAGTACTAGTAGCTAGACACACTGTGTCGTACTAGTAGCGAGACACACTGTGTAGTACTAGTAGCTAGACACACTGTGTAGCACTAGTAGCTAGACACACTGTGTAGTACTAGTAGCTAGACACACTGTGTAGTACTAGTAGCTAGACACACTGTGTAGTACTAGTAGCTAGACACACTGTGTAGTACTAGTAGCTAGACACACTGTGTAGTACTAGTATTGAGATACTATGTAGTACTAGTAGCTAGACAAACTGTGTAGTACTAGTAGCTAGACACTGTGTAGTACTAGTAGCTAGACACACTGTGTAGTACTAGTAGCTAGACACACTGTGTAGTACTAGCAGCTAGACACACTGTGTAGTACTAGTAGCTAGACACACTGTGTAGTACTAGTAGTTAGACAAACTGTGTAGTACTAGTAGCTAGACACACTGTGTCGTACTAGTAGCGAGACACACTGTGTAGTACTAGTAGCTAGACAAACTCTACTACTAGTAGATATGTAGAGTACCGCGAGGGAAGAGCGCGGGAAAGTGTGAGTTTGTGGAAAGGTCGTGCAAGGGCATGCATGATGCAACCTTGTGCAAGTGTCTCTGTGAGTGAGGGCAATTGGGGGCGAACGGGTGTGCGTGTGGGATCACGGGTTTGGCGCCATGGATATGGGGGTGATGATAAGGATTAGCTAATTGAGGGGCGCCATAGAGACTACAGATTAAGTGGGAGCATGGGATGCGAGGGGCGCCATGCAGACGGAAGCTTATTTGGGAGCACGTGCGGACTCAGAATAAGGAGGGATATATAAGCAGGAGTGTGTGTGAGTTCTGGGTCGCCGTTGGGAGAGTGAGGTCGCCATCGTTGAGAGATAGAGAGGAATGAGAGCCTGCGTGGACGACATACCAGCCGCTGCTGAAGAGAGCTTGAGATGTAGAGGTCTCACCTCATTGCCGGGCGGTGTTGGGTGATCCCCCGCCCGGGACAGACGAGTGGGTAGACAAAAGGGAGCCATACCGGGGAGTAGGTAATGAAGGGATGTCCGTGTAAAGGACAGAGTTCTGACGTGCACCATAACGGGTGTAAGCATTGAGTGCAGAGAGTGTAAACAAGCAGTGAGGGTAGTGGACAGAGTGTGTATGAGTGAATAAACGGCAAGCAGCCTTAAGTAAGAATCCTCGTCTCCGTCTGGTTATACAATCCTCCTGTTGTCAAGAAGTCATTTTCTTCAGATAGACAAACTGTGTAGTAATAGTAGCTAGACAAACTGTGTAGAACTAGTAGCTAGACAAACTGTAGTACGAGTATCTAGACAAACTGTATAGTGACTTAAAGCTTTTGTGACTGCAGGAATTCATACTCTTTGGGTCTTTCGGTAACGTCACATAGATAGAAAAATAATAACAAAAATCACGACGTTTCGATCGCAACACAAGCAATTGTCTTCAGGTGAAAAAAATACAGCAGGCGAACTGCTGTGGCAGGAGAAATATATGATACTAGCCGGAAGTACCCGGCATTGCCCCAGCGAAAAATATATTTCTAAACTTCTCTTAAAAACCTTAGATATAAATGAAAGCCCGGTGGGCCGTTTGTCCATTTCTCCACCAACATTATTATAAGAGGCTTGCAGAAGTCCAAAAAGGTATAGATAGTGGGGGGTAAATAGTTGATATAAAAGATTTCCGAAAAGTGTCGACCGCCTCCCCCCCCCCCCCCCCCGCCCCACTTATAAATATTTTTACCCCCGTGTAGGTTTATATATATAC